GTATGATTGCATGTAGCCTGCATTGTTTTGAGGTGTACAGTGTGTCTGATATATCTGGTGGTCTTGAGAAGCTTTGAGAAGCATTCAGAAAATAAGGGAAGTGTTGTTTGAGCTGGATTGTTCAGTTGTGGATGTGAGGAGCAGGAGAAAAAGCTGCTGTTAGGAGAAATGGTGGAGGTTTGTCACATGTTGTGCCGTACATGACACCATGATCAGGGCCTTGTTCTCCCTGGATTCCACAGTGATGTCAGCAACTTTGTAGTAAACATTGTTCTGCATCGTGATTACACTTCTCTCAGCCTGGGTGCAAAGGGCTATGTTGGCAGCTAGGAATAGTAATGGAATGGGGAATTAGTGGGTGGAGCTTACTGTATTATTGTTTTTAGGTGCTGTCTAGTCAAGTAAGACTCATAGTGACCCTGTGAACGACTGATCTCAACTCTGTTCTATCCTGTGCTATCCTCACACTTCCTGACACGCGAAAGCCTATTGCAGCAGTTACCATATCAATCCACCTGGTCGAGGGTCTTCCTCTCTTTTACTAACCCTCCACCTTTTTAACCTCATGTCCTTCTCCAAGGAATAGACCCTCCTAAGAACATGCCCAAAGTATGAGAGGCCAAGAATACTTTGTTTTTTCTTGTCTCCAAAGGGCACTCTAGCTGCACCCTCTCCAAGACATAGTTGTTTCTTCTTTTGGCCGTCCGTGGGATGTTCAGTGCTCTTCTCCAGCACCACAGCTCAAAGGCATCAATTCTTCTTCTGTTATCCTTACTCATTGTCCAGGTCTCAAATGCATAGGTAGTCATCAGAAAGACTATGGCCTGAATCAGGCACACCTTAGTCCTCAAATAACATTGTTACTCCTCAATAATTTGGAGAGGTCCCTAACTGCACATTTTCCCAGTGCAGTATGTCTCCTTATTTCCTGACTGCTAGTACCAAGGGTGGTAATTGTGGATCCAAGTAAGATGACATTGTTAACAATTTCCGTGTCCACTTCATTCATCGTGATATTGCCTATAGATCCAGTGGTAAGAATCTTTATTTTCTTGACACTGAGATGCAACCCATACTTGTGGTTATATTCTTTGAACTTCTGCAACAAGTGCTTCAAGTCCTCCTCACTTTCATCAAGCAGGGTTGTGTCATGTGCATAATGCAGGTTATTGATGAGTCTCCCTCATGTAGGGCTTGTCTGTCTGTCTGTCTCTCTCTCTCTCTCTCTCTCTCTCTCTCACACACACACACACACACACACAGAGGTACACGTTAGCTGCCATTTAATCAACTCTGTTGTATAGCAACCCTCTGTACAACCCACATCCAATCCTACACCACCTTCATAATTTCTGCTATGTTTAATCTCATTGTTGCTGTCAGTGTATGTCATTGAGGGTCTTCTCTTTTGCTGACACTCTGCTTTTTCTAACATGATGCCCTTTTCCAGGCAATAGCCAGTCCTGATAACGTGCCCAAAGTGTGTGAGATGCTCACTATCTTTGCTTCTAAGAAATACTCTGACTACACTTCTGACACAGATTTGTTGGCTATTTTAGTTGTTCTTGGTATAATCAGTGTTCTTTGCCAACAGCACAATTCAAAGGCATTGGTTCCTCCTCGCTCTTCTTACACATGTTCGACTTCCACATGTATGTGTTGTATTGTTGTTAGTTGCCCTTCAGTAGACCACGTTTAATGACAACTCTGTGAATAACTGATCTGAACCCTGTCCTCCGTGCTCCTCCTCATCTCTGATATGCTCGAGCTCATTGTTAAAGTCACTGCGTCAGTTCGTCTTGTGGGGGGTCTTCCTCTCTTCCTCTGAGCTTCCACCTTTCCCACCATGCTATCTTTTTTTCCCTCCTGACAACATGCCTGAAATATGTGAGAAGTTTTACCACTATTGCCTTGAAGGAGCACCTAGTTGAATTTCCTCCTAGACAGACTTATTCGTTCTTTTGGCAGTCCATGGGTAATCAGGACTCTTCTCCAACACAGCTGTTCAAAGGCATAATTTCTGCTTCTATTTCATGATTCACTGGAAATTTTTAGATGCATAGGAAACAGTTGAAAAGACTTGCATCATGTGCACCTTAGTCTTTAAACTGATGTCCTTGCTTTT